TAGGCCTTGATACATATACATGAATGGATATATGAGGGGGACCAAAAAAAAAAAGAATGATCTTTTGGAGGTCAGGCCCCTTGTAGTCCAGGCTTCCCCCACTAGGTAAGTGTTCGAGGAACCCATCGTCGTCAGCACACCAACTAGTGTTGTTGTGAGAGGCTGCATTTGGCTTTCAATGCATTTGCTCTCATTTTATGACAGATAATTTACGAGCACACCTGCCCGCACCATGTTGAGTGTTCAGCAGTTTTTGACCAAAGATGGCATGATCCCCATGCCCCACCCTCCCTATTCATCCAGTCTCACCGAGTGAGTTTTTTTTGTTTTCCCAGATGAAAAAAAGTCCTCAAAGGGAAACATTTTGTCGATGTGGAAGAGGTGAAACAAAATACAGCAAATGCACTAAAAGGCATCAAAATGGACGAATTAAAAAACTGTTTTGACCGGGCTCAGTGGCTCAGCCTGTAATCCCGCGCCTTTGGGAGGCTGAGGTGAGTGGATTGCCTGAGCCCGCGGGTTCGAGACCCGCCTGGGCAGGCAAGACCTCATCTCTACAATAAATCAAAAAATTAGCTGGGCGTGGTAGCACGCGCCTGTAATTCCGGCTACTCAGAAAGCTGAGTGGAAGGATCGCCGGAGCCCAGCAGGTTGAGGCTGCAGTGGCCAGAGCGGCCACTGTACTCCAGTCTGGGTGACAGAGTGAGACTCCAACTCAAAAAAAATTAAAAAAATTAAAAAATAAAAAGCTTGATCTAGGTCACAGAACAGTAAGTCATGGAGCCAGGGCATAGACCTGGGAGTGACTGACTCCAACACCTATATCTACCTTTCGTCAGTGGTTCTCAAAGTGTGGTCCCTGGGCCAGTGGAAGTGGCATCACCTGGGAACTTATTAGAAATGCAAATTCTGAAGGCCTACTCCACAGGTTATGATCAGACTCTGATGACAGGGCCTCTCCAATTCTATTTTAACAAATCCTATAGGTGATTCACATACATGCTAGCGTTAACAACCACTGCCCTAGAACACACAGCCTCCCTTTGCTCTGTTATTTACTGACCTCACCTACAATGAGAGACAAAGAGGCTGCCTTTCTCAAAAACAAATCTGGATCCTTAAGAAACAGAAAATGGGTTTTAGACCAAAGAGTAAGACATAATTAAATGTAGGTCTTTATTTTAATTCCAGCTGCAGCAGCACTACTCACTTGCTAGTGATCACAGATTAGTGAATTAACTTTTCTCACTTCAGTCTTCTTATTTATAAAAGTAT